ATATTAGAGCGTGTCGATTTACAGGGAGCTAAAAAACGGAAAAATCGAATATGCTGAAAATTTTATTCGGCTCATTCGGAACCATTTTGCCCAATAAACTATGGGCCAGGTATTTAGCCGGTCATTTTTGARACTTTTAGTTATTATAGAAATTTGGAAATTATTAAATACATAAGTACATTTCGATATTCTATTGATCCTCTATAATACCCATATAATAGATTATTTAGATTTTTATTTTTTCTATATACTGTCTTTAATTAAAACTGAAAATAAACAACTGTGACATATTTTGACCTATAATTTCTTAAAGAAAGTCGTATAGAGTAATCCGTAAAACATTTCCGACATATGCGATTTTGTAGAAAAGAGAAATCATCCTTTTATATGCGTTGGCAAAACTTTATTTTAACAATTTTAAGAAATAATTCAAATATATAAGGAGATGCTAGTCATATTTGGTCTATGGCAAGTTTTCATCCGATCTTATCCTCTAAATTTTATTAAAATAACTCAAAGGAATTCTTTTCCCAAAATTTATAAGGAAACCTTGATTGATTTTTGATTTTTATACTGGAAAGTGAAAATATTAGAATTAGTATTTTGGTTGTTACAGCCTGAATCGTTTAGGATATTTGCATATTAAACTTATTAAGGAGCAAGTTAACACCCACTTTTAAAAATAATTGGTTAGATGGCTTCCTTAATAAAACTTGTTGCACTAAATAACAGCAATGTATCTTACTGTGTAGCTTATTGTCGCTTTGTGGAGCAATGGTCCGATTCTACCCATCTGTAATACTAACCCTTCTTGAGTGTCAAGGAATGTATGAATCAAATATATCTAAAGTTTTTATGAAAATTCAATCATACTATGCCAAAGGTAGTTATTTACAAACATAAACATCATCAATTTCCATTTCAAACACATATAAAATATTGATATTCGACTGTACAATGAAATTTTKTATATAGTTTCCAACAAATATAGTRGAATATGAATACTATATGTATGTATATAGCAATCAGAGTATTTACTGTAGTACTACTACTGTAGTACTGTAGTACTACACGACCAAAACAAAATTATTTTATAATTCTATACAAACAGTTACACACAAAAAATTAGAAAACATTTTTCAATAAATCTAAATAATTTTAATATGTTCTCTTCCTCAAAGCTCAAAGTAATCTTTTACTAAAATATTGCCAAATTTGTTTATCAAGAATGATAATCTAGATTTTTATAGCTTTTGCTAAAGGACAGTAGTAGTACACTCAGAAAAAACACTTAAAAAGCGACCACACCCCGTAATGTGCGTAATAAATTATTTTTATTAGGACTGCAGTAGTTCTTA